AACTCCGCGTTCAACAAGCTCGTTCACCAGCGCCTGCTGAAGAGCCGCAACAACCGCGCCCCCCGTCTCCCTGAGCCGTCATTGCCGTCTGCATGAGGCGCAAGTCGGTGTGGCTGGAGAAGGGCAAGAAGGCCCCCATCGCCGTCGTCGTCGGTGACGTGCTTGACGACGTTCGCATGATCCGCATCCCGGCTCTGCGTGTGTGCGCGCTTCGCTTCTCGAAGAGCGCCCGCGAACGCATCACCGGCGCTGGTGGTGAGTGCCTGACGTTTGACCAGCTCGCAATGGTGGCGCCGACCGGAAAGAACACCTTCCTGCTGCGCGGCCGCAAGTCTGGGCGCGAGTCGGTGAAGCACTTTGGAGCGGCGGGTGTGCCCGGCAGCCACGCGAAGCCCTTCACATCGAACCGCGGAAAGGAGCGCCAGCGCGTCGGCAGCCGCCGTCGTGCCTTCCGCCACAAGTAAGCAATGGGGAACGCAAAGAAAGCCTGAGCCCTTTTTTTTTGTCTGTTTTGCTTTTATTCCACCCTCGCCAGAAACAGTTCACCCCTTGCAGTCTGCACGCAAAGGGTGGGCTGCCCCGAATAGTGGTAAAAATGAATTGCTCTGCCTGTTGTTACATGCTAACCTTGGTGAAATGTGTTCTTGCCTTCTCTCTCTCTCCCTCTTTTTTTCTTGCGTCTTCGTCTGCTTCCCATGTGCCGCCAACGCAGAACAACGGAGGCAAGCTCTCTCTCTCTCTCACACACACAAACAACAGCAACAGCAATAAAAACTACAAATAAAAGGGAATTCTCCCTCCAATGGATGCCGCCCTTTTTCCGTCCGCGACCTCGGCGACCATCTTCATTGATGCTGAGGCAGCAGCCGTGGTGCAGCTTAACACAATATTTCGTCGATGCGGACTTCACGTTTCCACGGCGTCCACTCAGCTGCACATTACCCCTGAGACGGTGTATGTTCTCTCGCGCGACGATGTGGCGGTAATCGCTCGTTTATCCCGCGTTCTGGTGACGAATGTGTCCGTGAGGTGTGACTTTAGCGCCCTCTGCGGCGTCCTCTGGGGCCATGCGAAGGAGGTGGAGAAAGTGCTTGACAAACATGCGCAGAAGCCCTTGGATGACGAGTTTCGCCCGCAAGAGACGGCGTCGCGACAATTAGTGCCGCATGTATTGCTTTTGGCACACGTGTTTCACACACTACGACACATCGAAGAACCATTTGCGCGCGAGGAGGTGAAGGAGGCTGTACACATTGTGCAGAAGGATGTGGAGATCGTAGTGAGACTCGCGCTCAAGGTGGCGCAGGCGTTTGATTTCGCCCTCAAGAACCTCAAACGCAGTGATACTGCCTACCTGCGTGCTTTAGAATTTTGTCAAGCCGCAATTGGGGTGTTTGCTGCCGCCATCGCCACACGGAAAACGTTGGACGTGAGCCCGCTACTCGCCCTATTCAACTCCGACCTGGTGTGGCATCTCAGCGGGGCCGGCGTGCTCGCAACGGAGAGTTACTGTGAGGCCGTTCGTCGACTCATATTCGCCGCCTTTGCGCGTCAAGACGATTTTGTTGGCGTGGAGCAGGTGGCGGTGCAACTTTTGCTGCATCGTTTAACCAACCGACCGCCCTTTGATTGGGAGAGTTTCCGTCGGTTGTACATTCTGCGTGACGCGGAGCTCCCCGCCGCGGCCGCGCTGACCCCGCAGTACGGTCTTCTACGCTACATGAGCATCGTACAGGCCTGCGTCGAGGCCCTGTTGCTCGCGGATGAGCCCTGGACGAAGTCGTTGAGACGACAAACATTTAAGACGCTGCGTCAAATGAACAAAAAGCAGATGTTGTCCTTCTTTCAAGTTTCTCTGCTTGCTGCGCTTGAGGGAATGCCGGAGCTGGATCTTTCCGAAGACGCAGAACTGCAGCGCCGGGCCGTGGTAACGCACCTCATCGTTGAGCATGACACCAGTAATACCATGCCCCCGCCAAGCTTTCTCCGCATTCTCTTGGCACACGGCTACACCGTTCCTCACATGGATCACGGTGCGCTGAAGCGAACCTCCATCTTGTCACTCCTACGAGCCATTTCCGAGCAGCTTTTTCAGGTGCCACTTATTCAGTCAGGGGAGGCAAACAAATTGACGGATCTAACATTGATTCCACCCGTCTTGACCCGGCCACTTTTGCAGTTGATTCTGGACGCCGCCGCTGCCGATGCTGAGACAGCTCGTGAAGTGGTGTCGGAGTTGCACCAGATTACAGGAGTTGTTTACGAGGCTAACTGCTCACAATGTGCCTCCCTCTTATCCGCGCGGAAGATGCCTGTGCCGCTTCGACGCATCTCAGTTTCAACGATGCGGTTACTCGTTATGTTCTTTGAATCCCATGCGATTCTTCAGAGTACGGATCATTCGATGGCCCTGGAGTCCTTTGCGCGGGTGTATGCGGTCTTGGCGTTCTACGGTTCTGCAACGAAGAACGCCACGGACATGGAAAAGGAGGCGACGTTGCGAATGATTCTAAAGGTGGGCGTGCAGTTGCCGGCTCTCGCGCAGATGATGCGGGCAGAAGAGATTAACACCTTTTTCGTTAACGTGATCCTCCCCTGTACCTCCATGGAGAAGTTGCAGCAGAAGAACCGTCAGCAGTACGCACTACAAGAGGCGTATGTCCGGGCCTTTGCATCCTCCGCAGTCGCTCTTGCAATGGATGAGATGACCGTCTTGCGTCACTGGGTGGATACCGCCCTTCGCTGCATTAAAAATTCACTCAGTGGGGCCCTCTCCGTTGCTGGGTTAAACTTTTTCTCCGCCGTATTCCTTTCGCGGCGGGCCATTGCACCGCTTTTCGTGCCAACCTACGTGGCACTGATGGTCCCGATTACCAACAGCAAGCGCTACAAGGAACCGCCACTGCTTCTCTTGCACCACTTTGCCAAGGGTGTGCGGGCGATATGCCAGGGAGTTGAAGAATGTGATGAACAGTTGCTGGCCGGGATGATGCAAAACAAAAACTCCACTCTAAGCAAATTCCTCTCGGAACACTACGGCGAGGGCAAGAGCAGGCCAACATTAGATGGTGTTCGACCCCTCAGTTGCGTACTTCTCGTTGTGTCGACTCTCTTTGAAAAAGTCTGTCTTATTCTTGGAAATACTACGACTGCGGCCACTTCTTCCAGGCAGGAGCGAATCGTCCGTTTCCAGGCATATTTCTCCGCCCTCATTAATTTGCTGCAGTGCCGCTCGCGCACCGTGCTTCATCGTGTGTGCGCATCCGTAGAGGCTGTCGTTCTGGAGCACCTGCGCGGTGTTCCGAGGGCACAGCTGCAGTGGATGAATTACATCACAGCCACCGTGGACCTTATTGAGGGAACCGGCAAGAAGGAGTTGGTGGAATGGCTCCTTAAGTTGAATGAAAAGGCAAGGATTGCGATTCCCCATCCCCGGCTCTAGGCCGCCACTTCGACAAGGTGAGGAGTGGTTGGATGGGCGAAGCAGCGCAAAAGGCGTAGTGGAAAAAGAAAGGAAGAAGGAAATAGGGAAAAGAGGTCAATAAAGAATGCGTCGGTTTTTTCTTTGTTTTTATGTTGACGACAGTGTTATTCCATTTAACAACAACATGATCTCTTGAGGATGAAGGGAGCAATTCCCCCCTCCACAGCAACAGTTTTGTCGTGTTGGCGATGGAGCGTGTGGAACTTTATAGCGCTGGTATATATAGATATATCTGTATATGCTATCTCGCTCTCTCGTTGTGCAAGTGCTTGCATGGTGGCGTTTTGTCGTGCGGGTGAAGTATGAGCTTTGCAATTGAGGGGCGACAACGACAAATACCTCCTCCTTTTTTTTTTATTGAAGGTGTCTATTGAGTTCGTGGCAGCGGGTGATCAGGCGAGGCCCCACCTCCTTTACCGCAAATGCTGAACAGGAGTGGCGCCATACGCTCATGGTGCACCGTATCGCGGGGGTTGGTAAAAATCGTGGCGGCGATGGCCGGTGCCACCGTGAGCAGCGCCGCTCCCATGAGCGAGAGCCAGGACGGTGGTGGCAGGGCACCCACGCGGGTCACTGGAGAGGGTCCCATTCCGTCGCCTCCGGAGACGCTGCCGAGGGATGTCGCGGCTAATTTGCGTGGCGGCAAGGACGCTCTGAATAGGAAGAAAAACGCTGTATATCGCTCCGTCCCTTCTACACGCGTTGGTAGGGCTGCTGGATTCGCGTCTCTGTTCGTGCAGCTGGGATGGGATCACGTCGTGGGCTCCAAAGAAGGGGGCATGCTGGCAAGCCACAGTCACCAACGTATTGCGGACACGCTGTGTCGCATGCGAGGTGTCGTGCTGAAGCTTGGGCAAATGCTTAGCATCCAGGACGCCGCCACAGTTCCACCACATGTGGTGCAGATATTTGAGCGGGTGCGTGACAGTGCTTACGCCATGCCAAAAGAGCAACTTAATCGTACGCTGGCGAAGGAGTACGGAAATGTTAATTGGAGAAGGGACTGCTTTGTGGACTTTGACGATGAACCCATCGCCGCAGCCAGTATTGGACAGGTGCACCGTGCCACCGTAAAGGGCGACGGCGACACCCTGACTGAGCCGGTTGCCGTGAAGGTGCAATACCCCGGTGTGGCAGCCAGCATCGACTCCGATATCGCGAATCTGAAGACGCTTATTTATCTTAATCTGCTTCCTCCGGGAATGTTCGTGGACAAAATTCTGCAGGAGCTCCGTCAGGAACTCGCGCTGGAGTGCCGCTACACGGTGGAGGCCTCAAAACAGACGCGGTATGCTGCTCTAATCCAACACGTTCCAGAGCTGCGGGATGTGTTTGTCGTCCCGAAAGTCTACGCCTCTCTTTCGACCGACAATGTGCTGGTGACGCAGCTCGTTTCTGGTGTGCCCATTGACCGACTGGCGACGATTGCGGGCAGCCAGGATCTCAAGGATTACGTGGCGCAACGCATATTTTTGTTGACGCTTTCTGAGCTTTTTTGCTGGCGTTTTATGCAGACGGACCCGAATTACTCCAACTTTTTGTTTGATACGGAGACAAACCGAATTAATCTTTTGGACTTCGGTGCAGCCCGCGAGTACAGCGCTGAGTTTGTGCGGGACTACCTGGACGTTGTTGCCGCCGCCGCTCAGCAGGACCGTGAGACCATTGTCGCAAAAAGCATCAAGCTGGGTTTTCTTACCGGGAATGAGATGGCGGCCATGTTGGACGCCCATGTCGCCAGCGTGGTGCTGCTGGGCAAACCGTTCCGTCACCGCGACAAGCCATTTGACTTTGCGGCAGAAAATCTTCCTTCATTAATTCAGGAACACGTGCCAACGATGATTAAGCTACGCTTACGCCCACCCCCAACGCCGGTGTATTCGCTGCATCGACGGCTTAGTGGGACGATACTGCTGGCCACGAAGCTAAAGGCCACCGTTAACACGGGAGAACTGTTTTGGAATATTTATGACAGCTGTAGAGTCTAACATGGTTGTTTGTATTTTCTACGCGTTATACATCTGTACGTGTCTCTGGCTGGGTGCTTTCTATTCCTTGATTGCACCACAAACGGCACACTAAACTTTTCCCCGGTATTTTCTTACTGTGTCTCGCAAACACTCGCGTCCTCTTTGCCAATAGAACTGGCTGCGTGGGTTATAACTCTGCCGCTTACACTCTCCTCGCATTTCGTCCTCTTTTTTTCTATCTATCTTTGCTTTCTGCGTACGTGTTTTCTTCTCTCTCTCTTTCTCTATGCGGGAAGCCTGAGCTCTCTGCTGTGTAAAGGGGGGTGGGTGGAAGAAGAGAGGTTCAACGCGTCTCATTCTCTCTCACGCCTCTTGCACGCATTGTGGCGAAGAAAACATTAAAAGTGGGTTTCATTACTTCTGCTCCCTCACTTTGTGGCGCGCGGGCGTAACAGGCGGCAGTAATACGCTGGGCTGCTTCGGTTGGTTTAGACATTTATTGATTTGTTTTTGCGTAGCCAAAAAGCAAGCGGAGGGAAAGAAAAGGAAGAGAAAGTGAGTCTACACATAAGCAGGAGGGAACGAAGGAGAAAAAAAAAGAGGAACGAAAAGAAAAACGAAAAAGAGGAGGTGCGGGCGTGTGGGGAAAACAACAAGAACAAACAAAAAAACAAAACAAAACAAAGCAAAACAAAACAGGGACGAGGAGAACGAAGAATATGCAGCAGTCAATAAAAAATCAGGACGAAATATGGGCACTGCTATGTAAGATGCGGATGGAGATGCTTGACCGCTTTGCGGAGCAGGAGAAGTTGCTCCAGTTGACGCGTGAAGAAATAAAGGAACGCTTAGACAAAATTGAGTCCGCCGTTGTCGCCCGCAACGGTGGAGACTGTCAGGTTATGGGGACCTCTTCAAACAACTTGGGGCACCTGGATCACGCCACACCCGTTTATACGCGGCATCTTGCCGATACGCAAGGGAGTTCGGCTGGGATGCGTGTCACGATGCTCTCCACACCGCCCAATGAGCGGTTGCAGCTCCTCCCCCCGGATTCCCGTGGGGGGAGAAGTGAGGGTTTGCTTTCAGCGGGGGATCGCGCGGAGTGGGTGGCGTTGACGACCCCCAGCCGTCACGAGGCCACGCCGGCGGTGTCTCCGCATAACCAGTGGACCAATGATGAATTTTCCCAGGGGGAAAGAAATCCTTCCGTAGATGTTACCGGTGTTGAGGCGTTCAACAAGTTAATGAATGATGACGACCTGCAGAATTCTGCGTTGGCGTCTTTGGGCGCCTCGAACCTCCAAGATGATGAGTTAAGGTCGGCACAATATCAGCAGATGCTGAGCCCATATGCGAAAAAGAACGATATTATTCCTATGGGGGCACCAGACTCTTTACAAACGCAACACTTCACGACGAATTTGAGGGTTACGTACGTCAATGGCCGGCCACAAGTCGTGCCGATTCCAGATGGGGCCCCCCTTGAGCCTGAGAGCCTTGGCATTAATGTGCACGCGCCATGTAAGGTGCTGGTTGAGTTTAAGCGTAAACGTGTACTGCAGTTTGAGTCAAAGGAGTACGTTCCGCCTGGCAGTTACGTCATGGTGGGTGGTGACCGCGGGGAGGATATTGGGCTTGTGACATACACCTCTTGCGAGACAACAAAGCCCAAGAAGAGTGACCTCAGCGACTCCGGCAACGGCAGCAACAAACCCGTCGTCTTGTGTATTGGGCTTACCGGCAGCACTCTCACCCACAATATTGGCCTTGGCACAGGCACTGTCCTGCGGCTGGTAGATGAGTCCAATGTGACGCAGCTCCACACTGTGCAGGTGGAACTTGAACGACGTGCCATTGACGTCTGCTCCCAGCGTGTTCTTGATCGTGGGCTACCCATGACCATAGTCGACGCGGAGTACCAGTTTGACAAGAAGAAACTGACTTTCTTTTATGAGGCGCAGCAGCGCATGGACTTCCGTGAGCTGGTGCGGGACCTCTACAAAACGTTCCGCGCAAGAATCTGGATGGCGCTGGTGGAGAACTGAAGCAAACAACACAAACCCACTCTTAATATTATTATTACTATTATTGTTATTGTTATTATTATATGTGTTGTTAGTTATTTGGTTTACCTTGTCTTAATTTTAGTTCTCGTTTCACATAGATGACACAAAGACAAAAGAAGGAGGAGGAAAGAAGGGAAGTGCTGGGCAGAGGTGTGACGGTGGCGACGTCGGCCACGCACACCACAGGGGAAACTGACCCGAAACGAAGAAGGGAGAGAGAGAAAAAAAAAATGAACACTGAGAGAAAGGGCAAGAGTGTGGGGAGACTCATCATTACAAGTGACTTCTGTAGAGGCAATCCCCCCACCCTCCCTCTACCCCTCTCTCTAGTTTGCACGTCCTTTTTTTTATGCGGTTTCGTTTGCTCACTCATTGCAACGGAGCGGAGGTGCGTAGAGAAGAAGAGAAGTAAGATGGAAGAACCATAAATGCAAGAAAACAAAAAAAACGGGGACGAGAATGGGAGAAGGCGGGTAAAACATCGCGAAATGTCACACCGTGAAATGATCCCCACTCTCCTCCCTCGCATAAATGAAGCAAAAGAGAGAGAAAAAAAAAGAACAACGGAGAGAAGCGCGTGTGGATGCAAAGAGGAATGTTTTGATGTCTAGATGCTCACATGGGCACTGACACTTACAAAGACAAACGTATATATGTATATATTATGCATGTGTACATATGCGCCTGGGCGGGTGTATAGTAGTTCGCTAATAACGGAATAAATGGATGCTGCAGAGTAGGTTTGGGGACTTTGACAACTCCAACTGCGTTGTGTTTTTCTTTTTCGTTTATTCCATCTGTGTATGTGTGCGTTTGATTGTGTTGCACTGATTTTTGCCTTTTTTTTCCTTGCAGCTGATGCTCTTCAGTGTTTCTTGGGAGGACGCACCGTTGTGAGCATCGGGGAGAAGGACATGAAGCAGGGAAAGGGGGAGGCTCTGGCCGAAGTGAAACAGAGGTACTACATGTAAGGATGCGAGAAACCGTGAAAGAAGGCCCGAGAACCTGGGGAGAGAAGCGGAGTTGTAAGGGCGACGAAAACGAAATGTGGGGGGGGAACTTGACTCGTATCTGTTGCACAACACTAGAGTGCGGAAATGTTTGTGTTTGTTATTATTGTAAGCGGATGAGACACTTCATTAAAGACTGTGCGACCAGGCGTGGACGGAACGAATGCTGGCAGCTCTTGTTGAATCCCTCTGGTTCTTTGTTGATTGCTTGATGTTTTTGTTTTTATTTCCAACGATGCCACGTTGGAAGAGCGGCGCGAGCGCAGTTCTTTGTTTCCCTCTTCTCCAGCTCTAACCCTCTGTCGTATTCCGCGCGGGACTGGGGACGGCGGTTGCGGGGCGCTGCAGGCCTACCACTTCGTGCGTTCAATAATGCGCACCCAATTATCAACGCCGTACGCTTTGCGAATTTGTTGCTTTATATGCATGTAATTTGGGTGTGTTGGATC